TACAGTTAGAATCTTTTTGTTTCTAATATATAATTTTGTACGGCTAACATTATTTTGCAGTTGGTGTCATACGAACAAAGGAAACTACCGCGAAGAACTAAATATTGTATGGAATTATCAGAAAGAGTGTTTAAAATCAACAATATTACCAAGTATGCTTGAAAGCTTGCCAAAAAGGACTAAGCGCTGGTAGGTGTATATAGGGCAGTGCAATAAATAATGAGCAATCGTTTCATATGGACACCCGCAGCTACAGGATGGACTTGTAACAAGACCTCGGGTATAAAGACTGTGATTCAAGCTGCAGGTGCCCAGACGAAGTCGGGTAATGAGAATACAGGAATAACGAGAACCAAAGCTAAAATAGTTTAACTTTACAGGACGTACCGATTTGAAAAGATTTGAACGAAATTTTGGATACGAAAGAGTACGGATTTCTAAATTCAGGTTGTTCCATCCAATGATGGAATATGGTATAAAAGACTTTCCAAAACGATTGGTAGAAAATTTGATGGTTCTCAGATTACTACTGTTTCTCAGATTGTAGATAGAAGTAGCAGAAATTGTACATGGAAGTAAATCTGAAAGATATTCCCGAGTACATCCGTTTACAATGTTATGAAATAGTAATAGGCGATGAATGTGTCGCCTTTCGGACAGAGTCTCCCAGCCGAGCTCTTGACAAATTAAAGAATATGAGGACCCTTTTGTGGCACCAGACACAACGAGGGAGCAATGATACTGAACTCTTTCTATGAGGTTTGATTCCTCGATTGTGCACCCGTGCCAGACAACGTCAGCATATTCCAACAATGAACGTATGAAAGACTTGTATATTTTTTCCAATACATGGCGGGGTAATCTAAATTTCAAGGCCCTAAATAGGTTAACATTTTTGAAAGCTTTAGAAACAATACTGTCAATATGAAAATGCCAAGACATATTGGAACTAAGAATAATCCCAATATGCTTGTGACAGGAAACTGATTTTATTACAGAATTATTAAGAAATAGTGGGGGGTGGGCTTGACGGACTTTTTTAGAAGTAAAACAAATTTCTTCAGTTTTTGTGGGATTTAATTCCATCAACCAGATGGTCTGCTCTGTTAATTCTTACTCAAACAAATATATAACGTTATGGTCAGACAGGAGGCTAAATCCCTTATGCTATAAACTTCCAACACGATGTAACCCAACACTAGTTACCATGGTAACAGACCGTCTGGTTCAGGTCATTGACCTTATTTGTTTGGAGAAGAAAAAGTGGTGTGTGTATGCGATGTGTGAGAGAGAAAGAGTTTGTGCGTGTGTGTAAATGTGCGCCAGTGTGTTTGTGTACATGTGCCAGCCGCGGTGTCGGACTGCGTGTGTGTGTGTGTCTGTGTGTGTGTGTGTGTCTTTACGGTGGGTCTGTGCTGAATGCTTTTGTACACGGCGATTCGGTTACTTTTCAGTGCGCTCCTTTGTCGGAAAGCCTGCCACAGCCTCAATCACTTTGTTCGAGGTGCAAAACAGTGCGTGCCTGTGAAAGGAGTTTCGTACCAAGGAGAACACAACCGTAAAGCCATGGCAGTTTCACGAGAAAAGTGAAACCTCCACAATCGGCAACAAGAGTAAAATGAAGAAGCCGCATCGAGTTATATTTTTATTACCTTTTATAGCGCAAAATACTGGTAGCAGCAACAGCTAGAAATGAAGATTTGGTAGCCTGGGTACCATCCATATTTTCGCTCCGCAACGCTCGAAAAAATCACAGCTCTCACTAAAGATTTGGACATCATTCGTTTAATAGACAACAGCAGTGCAGGAAAGTCCACATCTGACAAAAGGTTTTAACTTTAAAGTCAGATGTTTTCCCCAGTTGATTGACAGACAAAAATCAGGATTGACGACAAATGACAAAACAATCTACTTTGTAGGACATCCGCACGAAACGAAAGCTCAGCATGTAGAACCATTCATTTTATAGACTGATGCCCATATTGAAAAAAGTTGTCTAGACTCGGAAACGTTTCATTTTAGTGTTCCAAAGTTGAGTAACTGTAATATATCCGATCCGAACTTGGGAACAACATGTTGTTTCTGAGGCAGTTACACAATAATTAAACTAAAATTTAGCCCTTAATATCGTGTATTAAACTAAGAAAAAGATCAAAATCCAAATCTGGTAAAAGGTTGAGTCATCCTACAATCCCTTGCGGTGATTATTTATTCAAAGCGATGTCGTCTGCTGATTACCTCCATGAAAAATGGAGGTATTGTAATGTTTTTGGCGCGTCTGTGTGTGTGTGTGTGTGTGTTTGTGTTTCCGCTCAATAACTTCAGAACGCCTTTATGGATTGTGATGATATTTGGTACCTTGGTAGGTCTTAGGAAGGCAAAGGTCAAGGTCAAATATGGGCCTCCTGGTGGCCGACCTTGGTACTGCAGCAGAACGTCCGGTTTTTGAATCTTTTGTCCTGAACATGCTATGGTCTTGATTTTTTTAAGACAAATAGCTTATTTTGTCAGGAATAAGCGGTGTAAGTTTGGTCCCCCTAGCAGATTGTTCTGGAACTGCAGGGGACCTTCGGGCGAAATCTTTAAAAGCCAATAAGTCCAGATAGGAACAACGTATTTTCATCATTTTTGGTGTGTAGGTAGCTGAAAGAGAGTTGTACATAATTCAATGCAATTATGCAAATGAGGGCTTTATTTGCATAATTAATTAGAAAATTCTATAATTACAGTGTTTTATATAATAGTACATGTACTTTCATACGTGTAATGTATGTAATTTATGGCAGATGGAACATCAAAATATACCAATTATGCAAATGATGAACTAATTTGCATAATTAATGGGATAATTCTGTGACTTCTTATTGGTGAATGATGGGAATTTTATACCGTGTGACGTGTAAGTTACTTAAAGGTTAACATCACTATGCCTATATTATGTTAATGTAGACGTCATTTGCATAATTAATGAGGACGTGTGAAATAAAGTATGACAAAGGAGAGGAATTTTACATTAGAAATATTGTAATTTGAATTCAGAAAACCATAAATTGAACTAGATTGTGCTAATTACGACCTTATTTCCATAGTCAATAGACAAAAAACATTTACAAAAACTCATATATTTCATGGAGGTATGAAATCTCAGAATTCTTGTATTATCTTGTAAGGCCACACGAAGTAATGTTTATGGAAGACGTCCTCTAAGGTCGATATCTGAATCGTTGATCATCATCAATAGTGGCTTTCTAATTCTGCTTTTCTTTCTTCTTTTTCCAAGAATCGTTCAGGTAAGGCTGAAGACCAGGCCTCGAAATTAACTTTTCTTTCTATTGTCCCAGCACTGTCCCAAAAATATATCTTAATTGTACCGAAGTGGGGATGAACTGTCCCAACCTGTTTTTTTGGGGGAAAGTATTGTATGACTTTGAAGTCAACTTTATTTTGCTTATGTTCACTCCCAGGCACACTATAATTGCAGAGTAGACAGGAAATTCGGGGGGATTTTTTCGGATCCAAAAGCCGGGACATGTGCCTGATAAACAAAAGAAGGGCTGACATTCTGATGTTGATTATTTTTCTATTGTCCCCAAAATGTCCCAAAGTGTCTTTTTAGTTGTCCCAGCCTAGATTTTAGTGGCCAGTGGCCATTGGACCACCTTTAATTTCGATCCCTGCCAGACTCCTTATACTTTGTCTACTGCTCTTTTGGGAGGATATGAGCCATTTTCTAAAGTTAATTGCATTACCTATATAGTATCTTATTGTTTGAAAAGTTCTTGCATTCAAGAACATCAAATGATATTTTAGAAATATTTTATGTGACAACCCTTTGGCGTTGACCGGTTTATCAAGTTTTCAAAGCTACAATGTATGTTAACAAAGTAAGCTTTATTTGAGTGCAACTTGCGTGTCCTATCATACGTGTTGGGAAACCCTAGGGCTAAAGTTTGAAATATTTTCCGATCCACAACAATGACATCACGTGATCACATCTTAAGGACAGCATTGGCTATCACTCGTGCATGTATTGAAGAGGACGTGCCTCGAGGAAGTAAGCTTGGAATCTGTGACGCGGTGGAACGTACTTTTACTGGACTACCTAGGAAGACATCTACAGCTAGTGGTCAAAACTATGAAGTTTACTGTCTTTTTGATGTTCCTTACTGCAGCGGGCTTTACATCAGGCCGGTCTACACAGGAGGTAGGCCGAAGTTGTGGTAATACGCAGTAGTATACAGGGGAAACTGCAACTATGAAGCTCATTTTTAATGCCATCTGTCTCTTACACATGCATATATCATACAGGTGTATATGGATATCATACAGGTTTATATCATACAGGTATATATCATACAGGTTTATATCATACAGGTCTGTCGTGATCTGGAAATGCTAGGGTCATGATCTTTTGGTGTTAGGTAGCTCTTCTGCTCGTGGAACTCTAGTTACCTTCGCCAAGAAGGTTATGTTTTCAGTCATTACTTTTAGTAATTAGAATTTATTCAAATTAGGACCTCATTTGCATAATTTATGACTAAATGCTAAGTAATATTACACGCACACACAGATTATGAGCCCAGTGACAGGCCAACGCGTGTTCGAAATTCGCGGCAAAGCCCGGGTAAAAGCCGCCCATGTACAAACTATTGTACTACCATATTAGTGCTTTGATAATTCTGGGATGGGGGTGGGGGTGGGCGGTGTATTGGGTGTAGTACAACAAATACTACTACACTCCCTGTGGTTCCTTCAGGTGCGAGCACACAGTGGCTACACCCAGGACGGCCAGTGTTCCTACACATTTGTGCTCCCCCCGTCTGGAGTACAGCACTGTGGTACGGGAGAGGGAGAGGGCGATCTACAGCAGATTCACGAGCAGGTAATAAGAGCTTTAACAACTACAAAGAAAATAAACTCATGAATAAAGTGACCTGATTGGTTGACAGAACGTTGAAAACACTCGTGTTTGCAATGGCCTCTCTTTAATTGGGTAATAAAGAAGGATCATGTATATGCATCAAATTAGATTGTGGGGTCGTGTGGCGTAGCGGCAGGGTGCTCGACTCGGAAACAATAGTTCCCGGGTTCGAGTCCTGACATGTCACCAGTCTTGCCCTTGGGAATTAAAGGCGTCATCTGCGTTGGTGGCGGCATAGAATAAGTTAATTGATATAACTTGAGTGTCACCTTGTCTAGTCATGAAATGTTAGAATATATAAAAAAATGAATTGATACAACAGCTCGGTTGAAGAATTTAGGCTCAAATATGAAGCTCTCTAAATTATGTCTGATGATGTTATGCAAAATTGATTCCCTAATTCAATAATTCTCTTAATTTTCAAAAATAACTGTTCATGAAGAAGCATGAAAACATTTTAGTACAGTGATTCCTATAGCTCTTGTACATCAACAACTTCTTTGCATGAAAGTTGGTACAAGTCATTATGAAATAAAGACTAAACATTCTCTGCCAACATTGGCACTGTCACTGTCCCAATTCATACCAGTGTTGGCAGAGAAAGTTGAAATTTCATAACAAGCTTCTTTGATAACACCAATGTATACCACCAATACAGATGATTGAGTTGCAAAACAAGTATCAGGAGCTGAGGCAAGAGAATAATGCTCTTGAGCAGAGGCTGTCAACCCTTGAAGGGAATACCGAGAACACTACTCAGCCTGGCTCCAGAGGTAAAATCGATAACTTGACTATTTTTGGCAACGCCTCAAGGGGAGCCTATGGTACAGTATTGTGTGCAGTTTGCAAGAATTCTAGGAACTGTACGGCGATTTTATCCACAGACATGGAGTGTCCACAGGAATGTCTGAAAGCTCTGGAATTTTGCTGACACACTTCTATGCCCACATCCCTATATATATATATATA